GATAGAATGTCCCTGTCTCAGAGACACGGTGGGCACAGGGGAAGGAAGTAGAACTGGTCACTCCCCCGTCACATGACTGACATGAGTAAGCAGGCCATGTCCACACCCTCCCTTGAGCTGCTGGTGAGCATCTGGTTGTGGGTCACAGCAGTGTGAGAGTCTCTGCTCAGTCTTCACCCTTGCCTTTGGCCCTGCGAACAGTGCTGCTGTTTGCTCTGTGGGGCTGCTGTGGTTGAGCACTAAGAGCACCGGCTTAGTGGGCATCAGGTCCTGGAACCTTCGCCAGCCCTGAGAATGGTTCTGGCCGGGCACAGTAGTGCACACCTGCCATTCTAGCACTTGAGTAGGGGAAGGAGGGCAAGTTCAAGGCCAGCCTGGACTCTACAAGAGAAAAGAGACCCTGTCTCCTGTTTACTCTGCCTACCCTTTGGGGAGCAGAAACCATGAGTGAGCACTTTGTTGTGTAGCTGGTGCAGGCCAGGGAGGTGTGTGTAAAAATGGATGTTCAAGGGTGACCTTAACTCCAGATTAAAGATGACTCATTTTGACCATCAAGTTCTGTGTTCGTTGGGTTTTTTGTTTTGTTTTGTTTTACATCATTATTAATAGGCAGACACCTTCAAGTAGTAGTATTATTATCATTATTTCATTTTGGTTTTTTAAGACAGGGAGGGTTTCTCTGTGTAGTCCTAGAACTCACTCTATAGACCAGGCTGGCCTCGAACTCACAGAGATCCATCTGCCTCTACCCGCTGAGTGCTGGGATTAAAGGTGTGTGCCACCACTGTCCTGCCTAGTGAGTGGTTTTTTTGTTTTGTTTTGTTTTTTAAGGTTTACTTTTAGTTTCATGTGTATGAGCACATGAGTAAAGGTGCCTCTAGAGACCAGAGTGATCAGATTCCCTGGAGCTGGAGTTGAGGTTGTGAGCTACCTCGAATGGGTGCTGGGGTCTGAACTCAGGTCCTCTGCAAGAGCGAGAAGTGCTCTTAATTGCCAAGACATCTCTCCAGCCCTTAAGTATTGATTTTTATTAAAACATTCGTATCAGATGCAATAGCAGTATGGTAACTGAATATAACGTTTAGATACAGACGAGCTTCATGTGTCCTGGAGTCTTTGGACCTATCCTGTCCTGAGAATATGAGTTTGAGAAATGTGGGAAATAAAAGTGAACTGGGTGTCATTGTGGTTCCTTCCTTTATAAAAACATGAACTGACACAATGCCCATGAATTTGCCTTATGTGGGCGGGTGACACATCCCATGCTTTGACTTTGAAGTCTCCACGGTTACTTCACGTCCCCATAGCCATGCTCTGGTGACCTGTTTGGTGGCTATAAATGGGAATATGAAAACTGAGCTGTTTGTCCTCTAGGTGCGGTGCAGAAGGTCTCTAAGAAGTTAGAGATGCATGTTTACAGCAAGAGGCTGGAGGTCATGCTGCAGTAAGTCTCAGGTGCTGGGTGTGCAGGCACACAGGTGTATGCGTGTGTGGGTGTGAGGGAACAAATGTGGGAGTGCTGAACTCGTGGAGTGTTCCCATACTACTCACATACTAAGTTGTGTCCAAGTTCACTCTGGTTGGTGCCAGATGCCAATGCCCAGCCCGGTTGGCACTGTGCTTACAAAGCCTGCGCATCTGTCAACTGACGCGATGTCAGATGAGTGTCACTGTACCTTTAAGAGTTATTTAAGTGTTGGCTCGGGTGTGAATTGTTTGATAATGTGGATGTTCTAAGCTCCTTCCAGTAAGTCTGTCTGTAACTATGAACGTCCCTAGACTGGTGTGTTTCTACCAATATGCCCTCCTGTGGGTGATCTTTGAGCTGACTTCAGGATGCTCTTAACAGTAAATAGTTAATTTATAATTTCAGCACCTAACATGGTACCTAAAGTGCTGATCTCTAATTGGCTTGGTGAATGAATAACTTAGTTTTCATTAGAGACAAATGTATGCAAGACAAAGGGAAGAAAGATAAATTTTGGCTCCTGGTTCAAAGGACTCTGCCAGGTAGCCTTGGCTTTGGCCTGATATGGACTGGAGCATCATGGGGGGGATTGTATAGAGGAGGAAGCTTACCTATATATTCTCTTCTTCACAGTCACGGGCTGTCCCCATCACAGTCACAGGCTGGCTGTCCCCATCACAGTCACAGGCTGGCTGTCAGGCTGGCTGTCCCCTTCACAGTCACAGGCTGTCCCCATCACAGTCACAGGCTGTCTGTCCCCATCACAGTCACAGGCTGTCTGTCAAGCTGTCTGTCCCCTTCACAGTCACAGGCTTTCTGTCCCCTTCACAGTCACAGGCTGTCCCCATCACAGTCACAGGCTGTCTGTCCCCATCACAGTCATGCTCCCAGTGTCTTGGTCGCCCAGGCCTCATGTCCGTTACCAGTGCAGCTGCACCAGTGGCAGCCTGATGTGAGTCTGGAAGGGAAGGAGTTGGTCTGTAGATTAGGCCAGAACCTATCACCTGGTAGCCAGTTTGTACACCCTCTGAGGACGTTGCAGGTTCCAGTCATGACAGTGGCAGCTTCTGCCTCAAAGTCAAGAGTAACTTAGGTAGAAATCTTAGTGTTTGGGGGGTTTTTGTGTCCCTTCTGGTTTTCTTTCATACTGGTAATAGTGGCTTTTTAATGACTTTAGTTGGCTTTTGTGTGTGTGTGTGTGTGTGTGTGTGTGTGTGTGTGTGTGTGTGTGTGTTTTGTTTCGTGTTTTAAGAGACATAATATCATTGTATTGCCCAAGTTGGCCCCAAACTGGAGGGGTCACAATATCTATGCTACATAGAAGCTGACATCCATTCTAGACAACTTTGTGAGACCCTGTTTCAGAATAGAGTGTAAAGGGCTGGTGTGGAATGTCTTCCTACTGTGCAAGGCCCTAAGCTTAGTCAGGTATCAAATTAAAAACAAAACCAAAGTGGAGTATTCCCATGAATAGAGCTGTGTTTCAGCTGTTGTACAATGGATAATCAATAGCATGTCTCCAGAGTAGCTAAATAAAAGCATCCTTCTAGAATTTAGACCCCTTGCACCGGTAAAGTTGGACTTTCTCAGTGATACCAATTTCTGTCCACTTAAAGGGACATATTTGGAGAAGACTGTGTCAGTGTGAAAGATGACTCTGTCCTCAGTGTCACGGTGGATGGGAAAACAGCGAATATTAATTTGGAGACTCGGGTATGTAGCTATCCATGTGTTTCAAGACATTTAGGGATGAGGTGAAGACCGTAATAAGATTTCAGCCCTGGCAGTTGGGTGCTGCAGTTTGCTGGCTCGATTGGTAGGGGTTTTCACAACCTGGACAAAGCCTGGGTTCTCCCTGGTGACACATAGAGGTGGGCATGTGGGAGTGCGTGCCTGTAATACCAACACCCTGGCTCCAGGTTTGGTTTGGTTTGGGTTTTGAGATATGTATGGGTTCTTATCCTGTAGCCCGGGCCGGCCTTGGAACTCTGTGGCACTGGGTTTTGTAGTTGAACTGTAAGACATCAGCGACCAAGCATGCCCGTAAGCTCAGGAGGCTGGGGCAGAAGATCACAAGTTCTAGGTTGGCCTGAGTTAGAACAAGTTTGAAGCAAGTCTGTATAGTGAGACTAATGTTGCCTTTATAAAGCAACAGCAATAACAAGGCAGTGGCCATAAGATGGTTAGTTTGAGTCAAATATCACCAAATGGTGAACAGTTTACTACACCCATTGCCTGCTAAATAATCTGTGCTACACAGACTGACTTGCAGTACATCGAGTATCATGTACTGAGTAGATAGTAGGGCCTTTGGCCTAAGAGTCAGTTCCTGCCCCTCCCCTTCGGCTCTCCAGTCAGTGTTGTGAGAACACTTCCAAGCCACAGGTGGATAGGCCAGCAGCTGGGGTCCTGGCAGTCAGCCTGCAGGGTTTAGAGTGTTCATTTGATTGGTTCTAGGTTGAAGCTTATGCTTTCACTTTCAGGTCGTAGAGTGTGAAGAAGGAAGTGAAGAGGATGAGTCCCTCAGAGAGATGGTGGAGCTGGCTGCCCAGAGGCTGTACGCCGCCCTGACCCCTGTGCACTGACCACTTAATTCCCAGCACTTGAACTTTTTTACTCTTTACCTCTTGTTACTTCAAATAAAATACCTTAGTTTCTCTGGGGTGGCCTGTTTCCTTTCACTTCTGATGGCCTGACTCCTGCTGGATCCCAACTGATTTGTCCATTGTTCTCCTCCATCCTCCCTGGAGCTGCCTGCAGGCCTTTACCCAGCGCTGCTGGGATCCTTAGATCTTCCAGCAGAAAGGAAAAGCCATGGTCCATGTTCACAGTTGAAGGCAAATATTGTGCCACAGGTTTGAAACTCGTTCTCTAGCCCCTTTAGAAATTCTTATGTTTGTAAAATCACCCCTTTCGGGGAGCTGCGCGCTCAGGTCAGAGACAGGAGCTTGCTGGTGCCTCACCCTCAGAGCATACTATCAAGCTACGGAATTGCGCCAACGGAAGCTATCCCATGTACCTCCCCTCCTAAGTGTGTAGACACTCCTGCACTTTATCTGACCTCCTTAGAATGCAATTAATATTTAAAAAAAAAAAAAAGCCCAAGTCCTGTGTCTGGCCCATATCAAAAGTCTAGGGCCCAACATCATGCAAACGTTTATCATATAAAACTAAGCATTTCGTTTTAATGCAATGGCACGATGCCATCGAGTCTGGTGGACTGGAATGAGGGTCCCTCAACAGCTCTGGCTTTCAAAGCTGCGCTTTACTGTGTCCATCAAGGCTAGTAGGGAAGGAGAGGCTCGGACTTGGCCAGTGATGGGGCAGGTGCGCCTGCTGAAGCAGATCCCAGCTCCGCCAGCCTGAAGCTAGGTACCCTGAGCTTTTCAAGTCTCCAGGCCACCGGAATCCTGGGGGTGGGGTGAGCCAGCTAAGAGAGCCCTACTCACCCGACCCAGAAGCGCCCGCGGGAGGAGGGAGAGCAGAGCCGCCCCGCCCACCGAGGCCCCGCCCCCTCGCGGAGCCTCCACATCCGGCGCAGACCGGCCGCCCGGAGCTGGCTACCATGGCGCTGTGTGAGCGGGCAGCCAGCGGGAGCTCTTTGCTATGGCCTCGGGTGTTGCTCTTCGGGGACTCCATCACGCAGGTACCCACCGAACCCTCAGCTGTGTCTGCGAGTGTGCCGGGCGGACCTGGCGCGGTTCCTCTCGTGCTACGAGGGCCGTGCACCTTCGCGGGCTGGTGTGGACGCCCGGGCCAAGTCCACGTCTTTTCAGGGGGACCATGGGGGGAGACGCTTTGAGGGGCCGGGGCCTCTCCGAGTCCGCTTCCCGCAGCCTCCTGCGGGTTCTCCCCCGAGGACACTTTGAACTTTGAGCCGACTAGTACGAAAAAGTAATCCTGTCATCTGAGACCGATTAACTCCCAATTAAGGAAGTTCCTCACAATGCCTTCCCTCTGGCAGACAGAAAACCCGCTTTCCCGTGGTTTTCTAATACCCAGGCTTGGCGTTCCCTAATAATTGACATTATTTAGGTTTTTGTAGGTGGCTGTGGTGGCACGTTGTTGCCAGAGGGCTGCCCTGTTAGGAAATTGGCTTCCTTGGTTTTCATCTGTGAAGTGAGACGATAACACGATGTCATCTAACCCAACATAGCTGAGTTTCCCTGTATAGATAACAGATGTCTCTAATGTCAAATCACAGTAAAATATAGATAGTTGTCTCAGGTCCATTGATAAAGAAAACTGCATTTCCAGACAGCTACCAAGTGAAGCCACAGTGACCAACAAGATCCCTTCCCAAGCAAGGAAGGCAAGAAGCCCAGGGTTGTGTCAAGACTAGCCTGCATCTAAAGGGCGACCCGACCACTTTTGCCATTGTGTCTGGCTGTGTGGATAGTAACTAGCTTTTCTCTTCAGTTTTCTTTCCAGCCAGGTGGATGGGGCGCATTACTGGCTGACCGACTTGTCAGGTGAGAACAATTCCCAGATTTACTCAGATGCTTCCTAATGGGCCTCGTGGGAAGAGTGGAGACACAGTGTGTTTTCATCTGTTGGTCCTTTCTCTCCTCGGTTAAAGGAACACCAGGCAGGCACTTGGGTTCATCAAAATCAAGTTTGCCACCGTGTGAAATCAGGTGGCACTTGGGTTGGCCAGGGTGCCTGTTAGCCGGTCTCTAGCATTCTGTACTTGCCCAGATTAACATCTGTCAGAAAAATCCATTTTAGATGCACCCTGAGCCACCACAGACATGAACAGAATTAGCCCCTTGTATGGGATCCATATCTAACTGAGGGATATGAGAAGGCTGGGCAGGCTCTGAACACTGCAAGGAAGCCACTCTTTGCTCATAACCCCTTTTTGTTGTTGTTGTTGTTGTTGAAACAATTTTCTTTCAGAAAATGTGATGTTCTGAATCGTGGGTTTTCTGGTTACAATACCAGATGGGCCAAGATTATCCTCCCAAGACTAATTAGTAAAGGGGGCAGCAAGGAAACTCCAGTGGCAGTTACCATTTTCTTCGGTGCCAATGATGCCACACTCAAAGGTAAAGGACATTTCTAAACTGACTTTGTTTTTCCTGGACTCAGGCTAACCCATGTTTATATGTATCTCACAGTCGAGTTTCCCAGAGAACAGTGCATTCCCAGGGCTTGCCTACATGGGTTTCTCTGGGCTTTGATGTGGTTACATTTGGCTCAGGTACTCCAGGCTCGTTTTCCACATGGCTGCCTTGCTGGCCCACCTGCAACTACTTTTCCTTTGTTCCTGTACTGGAGTGTACTCAGTTGATGCAGTTGGCAGCGGAGGGCATGCACTCACTGGTGAAAAAGGAATCTTTTGTTAGAGACATCATCTCCTGTAGCCCAGGCTGGCCTCAAACACACTAGGTAGCTAAGGCTAGTTTATCCTCCTGCCTCTACCTCTCAAGTGCTAGGATGATAGGGGTGTGCCAACCTGGTTGACCCGTTACTGGTATTTTGGTTAATGGGAAAAATTGCATAAATTACACATGTTACAGAGACTGACTGACCAGGAACACATCTAATCACCAGCAGCAGCCTAGATGGCAGTCTCGTGGATAACTTTGTTTCTTCCTGTGGTTTGCATAGACTCTGCAGAGAGCTCTGCCTGTGTGCTAGCCTGACTGGAAGCAAGCAAGCCTCTGCAGTCCGGTGCAGTTTTACATAGCTGTCCTGAGAGGCAGAGCCTCTCATTCCCCTTATTTCCCGTGAGGACATGGTTAAGTGACTAGCCAGTGACAGCCAGGGTGGGAGCTGGGGCAGTCTTATATGTCACAGCCTATAGATCCAGCCTTACTGACAATAGGGAACCTAGAGAAAAGACCAGCATGCTCAAAAGGCCCTAGCCCATCTGAGGCCCGAGCTGTGAACGAATAGCTAACTGGCTTTACAGGGAGGGAATTGTTTTTCTTTGTGTCTTCTGGTTCTCAAGTATTTATAAATTTGCAAAAAGTCTATTCCTGCCTGGGCGTAATGCTTGTGGTCTCTGCACTGGGGGGGGGGGGGGGGGGGGGGGGGGCTGGGATAGAAAGATGTCTGCAAGGTCCAGGCCATCCTGAATCAGAGTAAGATCCTGTCTCATCGTGGTGGACATCTTTAATCCCAGCACTTGGGAGGCAGAGGCAGGCAGATCAGTGAGTTTGAGGCCAGCTTGGTTTGAATCCCAGAACAGGCTTCAAAGCTACACAGAGAAACCTTGTCTCAAAACAAACAAGCAATAACAATAAGACTCAGGAAGGCCTGAGGATGTCCAAGAGTAGGTAGACTGCTTGCCTAGTGTGTACACTGAGCTCAGTTACCTTCCCAGCACTTGGGAGGCCAGCACAGGGACAGTAGGATCTCTGTGTGTTCCAAGCTATCAGGGCTACATAGTAAGACTCTGTCTTAGCTAGGTAGTGAATTTAGAACCTGTCTGTGCCAGAAACTGTCTCAAAGACCAATTTTTTTAACAAGTGAAAGGAATACATATTTGCCTTATTTGTTGTTTCTCATAAAGTGTTCAGACTGAGGTGTACATGTCTTGAACAGATGAGAACCCCAAGCAGCACGTCCCCTTGGATGAGTACAGTGCAAACTTGAGGGCCATGGTGCAGTACCTGAGGTCTGTGGACATCCCTGAGGAGCGAGTCATTCTCATCACCCCACCCCCGCTGGGGGAAGCAGCCTGGGAGAAGGAATGCATCCTGAAAGGTGAACAAAGCATGCTTGGCCTGTCACAGCTGCTTGTGATTGCTGGGGGCTTCCATTCCAGGGCCCCGTCAGCTGGAGTGCCAACTCACAAGCTCAACGCCTGTTGTCCTACTCTAGCCTGGTTTATACAGAGTGGGGCAGGGGTCCTGGTGTAGGTCAGGAGGGCATCGTTGTCCCAGCACCGTCTGTAGTTGCCACTTCCATGGTGCACACAAAGCCCACTGCCAGCCGAATCTGGGGCTGTCAGGTGCTCTCCTCTGGCACAGGGAAGGTGCCTGCAGCCGAGCTCTGCAGGTGACCCCTTTTCCAGCTGCTAGGAGCTGCTCCCGTCTTGCCTCCTTTGGCAGTTGGCGAAGGGAGTGATGGTAAAATCCCTCCACTTTCCTTCCCTGTGTGCCTTGTCCCTTCAGCATGGTCACTGTCATGCTGGCACACTTGACTGGAAAGGTGTACTGTGTACTGTGGACTTTGTCTCCGTGGCCTGGATCCGAAGACGGTTTGACTGGGACACATTTAAATGGCTTTCAACACAGGTCAGCTGTCAAAACTAGGGGAAAGTAGATCTTTTCCTGTCCCCCACCTGCACTTTGGAGGTTGTCCCCAGCTCTGGCCCTAAGCTGGGTGGCTGGCCGCCTACCCTGGGTAGTCTCCCCGCCCTCATAGCCTGGGAGGTGGGCTGCATGTACTTGACTAAGTGTGTACATTTTATACTATAATGTGCATGAATGCGATAGTTATGGCGTGTATCTGGAAAGCCTCAGGATGGCTGAGCATGTTGTTTACGGGCACAGCGTGTGGTAGCAGGCTCTGGCAGTGACTAGTCTCTGCAGGCTGTCGACTTCTCTCACATTACTGCAGTGCTGTTGGCTGCTCAGTGGCAGTGTGTATGCCATGGCCTCAACATTTCCAGCCATGTCCCTTACCCATCTCGTTGTGATCTGCTCTCTAACTGGTTCAACTCTGCACCCTGACCATCTTAGAAGCTTCTAGATGCCACAGCTGGCTGCTTCTCCCGCTCTGCCCTTTGTCCTCCACCGTGAGAGCAGGGCCACTGTCGTAGCCCCCAGGAAGGCTGGCATCAGTGGCACTTAGAAACGGTCTAGTCACTGTAGTTCCGTAAGGACCTGCAGTAAGTTTGCCAATGATGTTCTTTGTCACCAACAGGTTGCAAGTTAAACCGCCGTAACTCAGTTGCCGGTGAATATGCTAATGCGTGTCTACGAGTGGCCACAGACTGTGGGACCGGTGTCCTTGACCTGTGGACCCTGATGCAGAAGGACAACCAGGTATCTTGGTTTCCTCAGGCCTCTCAGGGTTACTGGGATCAGAGGAGAAGCTGTCCTGGAAGGGTTCTTCAGATGGGCGTGGTGAGGTATGCCTGTAATCCCAGAACATAGGAGGTGAAGGTAGAAGGGTCAGTTCAAGGCTAGCCTGGCTACATAAAACCGTGTCTCAGAAGACATAAACATCAGCCATGCTTTTCACCAAGAAGGGCATAAAGACTGGGCAGCCAGAACCTCAGCTAGAGGTTACTCTAGAACACAACAATGGCCAAGTTTGTGCAGGGCAGAGTTCAGATGAAACAGTGACATACCTTCACTAACAAATCCACAGCTTAAGATGCCGTTCTAGTTGAATTATTTTGCCTTTAAAACCTGAAGACAAATACATATGGAAAAAGCTACTTGTCAAGTGCAGCCAGCCACTCAGGAGGGCAGCTGGATGGTGTGTACATGCACTGACAGGACAAGCTGTCCACATATTTTTTTGGCAGCATTATCCACATTAGGACAAAGTAGAACCGAGCAAGCAAGCACCTGTCTTTCTGTAGACGACTGAGTAAACCCGAATCCAGAGTCCTGGGCAGCAAAGAGGCCAAGTTTGATGCCTAAAACATGAATAAAGCTGATAGGAAAGGAGGACTCTAAAGTCACATGCAAGGTTTCAGCTATGTGACATCCAGACAAGGCTGCAGTGACATGTTAGGGTGAGGACAGCAACAACGGCAGGTTCCACATCCTTCCTGGTCTGTAGCATATAAGCAGCACAGTCAGACAGAGACACGTTTGTTTTAGCCCTTCTATAACAGGGCCTCACATATCCCAGGCTGGCCCCGAACTTGTTTTGTAGCTGAGGGTGGCCTTGAATTTTTTTAACGCCCCACCTCTGCCCCTGGAAGTGGGTTGCTGGGGTTACAGGGGTGCACTGCCAATTTATGGGGTGCTGGGGACCGAGCAGTGCTAAGCAAGCACGCACGCTGCTGAGTCGCTTCCCCTGGCCTAGTGTATCCCTTAGTAAAATGCTTCTTCTCTGGGGGTATTCATTCCCTGGTGATGCTGACCCAGGGAGGAGCTGAGGAGTGGAGACTGTTGTTTGAATTGCTTATCGACCCACTCTACCCTGGCTGGTTCTGTTCTTCAGAGCTGTTTGGTTTTTGTATGTAGACAAAAGATATAAAGTCAGCCCACGGTCCCCAAACCAGATGCTAAACTCCCCCACCCACCTTTCTCAATCCACCTCTCCTCCATGGGCCTGGAAGGGTCTGATGATGTCACAGTTGACATCACTCCTCTCCCTACAGGACTTCTCATCCTACTTATCAGATGGCCTGCATTTATCACCAAAGGGAAACGAGTTTCTGTTCTTAAACCTCTGGCCGCTGCTGGACAATAAGATCTCCTCTCTGCCGTGGCTGCTTCCTTATTGGAACGATGTGGAGGAAACAAAGCCTGAGCTAAGTCTACTGGGAGACGGAGACCATTAGTCAGCCTGGGAAACCTTCCCAAGTAGGAGCGGTTCCTGCCATTCATGGGTACCACCTCAGTTGTTAATTCACAAACATTCTAAGAACCACTGTTCATCATGTATATAACCTCAAACTGATGATTCATAAATACCAAGAAATTGAATATTTTTCAAGATTTAACTTCTGTTCATAACTTTTTTTTGAGACAGGCTCCAAAGCAATACAGAGAAACCCTGTCTTGGAACTAGCTCTGTAGACCAGGCTGGCCTCGAAATCAGAGATTCACCTGCTTCCCGAGTGCTGGAACTGAAGGCGAACGTCACCAATGCCCGGCCTGTTCATGACTTTTTAAGTTCATTGGTGTTTTGCCTGTATGTTTGTTTTTGTGAGGTTGCCAGATCCCCTTGAACTGGAGTTACAGATAGTTGTGAGCTGCCTTGTGGGTGCTGGGAATTGAACCTGGGTCCTCTGGAAGAGCAGCCAGTGCTCTTAACCACTGAGCCATCTCTCCAGCCCCTTGCTCAAAAAACCCACTAACAGTTGCCAATGTTAATAATGTATTTTTCAGGCAAATGTTATTCTTGACCCATTTTGTTTTGATGGTCAGTATTTATTGACTGAAACAGCAACAGACCACAGCTACAGAATATACCCTGAGCAGCTTGTTAATACTGTACATGGAAAAAAAAAAAAAAAAAAAGAACAATTCTGATTTGTTTAAAAAGGGTCAATTTTATAAAAAATGCTTTTCTTATATTCTGCCAAGAACTTTGATTCATACATACACCCACACACCCCATTCACCTTATAGAAAATCCTCAAAATATAAGGCTATCATGGCTAGTTAAAAGAGCAAATACCACAAGGTACATGTTCAAGTATTAGTGTAACAGACATCTTCAGAGATAAGGCACAGGTTTGGTTAGCTGTCCTCAGAGTTTACAAGTTATCTTGGTTAAAATGTGTTGGCTGGTGAGCACATTTTAACTCTTAGAACAAATGCTTTTACAACTAGACTTTATAGAAATCATAACTCAGGGTAATGGTTTTTATCCTCCGCACAGTAAGTGCGCTGCATCCAGGCTCCTGAAGCACTAAAGCCGGAGGTCATGTGGCTGTCTTGCTGGGTCTGAAGATAGTTCTTCCAGGGCTGGGCCCCAGGTGGAGAGTGGCAGCACTGTCCAGAGCTGGGTCTGGTAAGAGCCGCTTGCTCAAGCTTACAACACCACAAATCACGTTCTTCCCGGCTGGGTTCTGAAACTGTATCAGCACTTGGCTTTTTTTATTTTATGTGTGAGTATTTTGCCCACGTTTGTCTGTGTTTCATATGCATGTCTGGTGCCACAGAGGTCAGAAGGCTACCGTGTGGGTGCTGGGAATAGAACCGGGCACTCTTAACTGTTGGCCCAATCCTCCAGCCCAATATTGGTTTGTTTTGTAAGGCAGAGAAACTACCCTGTGAATGGGTCATCTCTAAGTTCTCGTGGCTATTACTGCACACCTCACTTGAAGCTAGAGTCTTCATCCTGGACAGGACCGTTCTTAGTCAATATGGCCCTAAGTGTAGACAGGACTTTATATCTGCAAAAGTTCCAGTGACAAGACAGGCCATATTTAGAGACAGTGTATACATACAGCTAGTTCCTCTGCTTTTACTTGAAGGCAAAACATAATAAGAAAGTATATTCCAGCTACCCTAGGTAATACCTGCCCAGTGTTTCACTGTGGCCAGGGGCCCTTGCAGTGTAGACAGACAGACTGTCCCCAAGCATCCGTGCAGCCTTATTTTCTACTTCTGCACCACAGGTCAAAGGAGATTTTAGATTATAAAAGAGAAAAACCCAAAACCTGAACTTAGCCAGATTGACCTCACCCCTTCAAGGACCTACACCGGTTGTTATAGGAAGGTCACGTCACATGACCGGCATCCTGTAAGTTGCTTCATGTTCCTTGGGTTGTCACAATGTTTGGTTTAGCTCAGCTCTCTAGCATCTGCATGTGCCTGTCCTGGAGGGTGTGGCTGAGCACTAACACTCTGTCTCCTTGCTGTCTATGCGGTTCTGACGCTGCAGCTTAAAGGAGGCCGCCTTTTCACTCCTGGTGACAGGGTGGTCTGTGAGGTCCTCAAAAGACTTGGCAGCTGCACTACTGTTAGGGAAAGGGTCCTTCTCAAAGCCATCGTCATCCACATGCGAGTCTGTGCTGGGGTCTTCCTGGATGGTGTCCATCCTCTGGTGGTCCAGTTTTGGAGCCGCAGACACTGGCGGCATCATGGGGGCCGGTTGCAGGGGCTGCAGACGACCTGGAGTCTGGGGTGCAGGGAAAGGCTTGATAATGCGAACAGATGCCGAATCCATGCTGCTCAGCATCTCAATGTTCTGGAAAGGTGAGGAAAATGAATCAGAGCTCATTAGGCTGTAACCTTACCCCATAGTAGGCCTGGGCCGTGCTCAAGTGCTAGGTGAGGCTCCACCACGCAGGCGGGCAGGAGCTCCAGTGCTGAGAGGCTGAGTCACCACCTGCACTGTGAGGAAACCAGGGTTCCTCTCTAGCCTTCCACCTGAGCAAGCGACTACGTCACACCCAACCAGATCCTTCCCCTAGCACGGGAGGGAAGAGCTCTGCTCAGGCTGCTCTTTTTGTCTTCTGTGTATACTCACACTGTGGTGAAACAGAGATAGGGATTCATACTGCTTGTCCAGTTTCTTATCCTAGAAAGAACAAGTAAAAATGTCACTAAAACTAAAGGGAACCCAACCCTCAAGCAGTAGTGCTTCCTGGAGTGATCTAAGACCCTCAACTACATAGAGGCAGCAGGGAGACATGGCTCATCCCTGCAGTTGCCTAGCACGCTTGAGCCTTGGGTCTGTCTGCCACCCCTCCATGCACTACCAAAAGAAACCCAGGGACAGGTTCACTAGCTGAGAACACACTCAAGCAGGCTATACCCACATGCTCCCAGGCAGGAAGTGCTGCTCTTCACAAACGGTGGCCTGGATACATGGAGAGGGGGTGCTTTAAGTCCCATCTATCAAAGCTGCCAGGGTAAGACCCCATCCATGGTGCTGGTGCACTGGACAGTTGGCAAAGGTAACTGCGGGCTCCCTCGGTCCTGACTTCACTACCCCAACCCATAGCCTTTCACAGAACTGACTCTTGATCCCCACACTATTTCTGCAGGAGGCTGAATGCTAAGTGAAAGGGAAAGGCCCCACTAAGTAAACCACCATTCGGTTGCTTTACTTTGAAATCAAGGTCAGCTTCATGGTCCACTTGTATACCTTCTTTAAATGTGCATACAATCTACTCAACTTCACAGCATAAACCCTTGGGAGGGATGGTGCTGCTGTCCTCACTTTCCATCACCACAATGGCAGCTCTGCCTCAGTACAAGTGCCCCAGAGCCTTCGCACCCCATAAGCACTGTGTCCACACTGTGGGAGAAGCCAGGAGGCACCCTGCATATGTAAGGCACTCACTACCTACTCATGTAAGGTCAATTTTTTAAACTCAATTTGTAAAGTACCTGAAATTTTAACTTATTTGTAAAGATGTGGCCACCACACATGATAATGTCAGTATCTACACAGTACATGGGGATTCCTGAAAGTGTTGACATTTGCTCCCCTATAACCAAGTCAGCTAAAAAGCACTCATGTTGACTATACAAGACACAGGCCCCAGGCAAGTCCAGCTAAATGCTCTCCTGTGTTCAAAGTATAATTTGTGTTTTGTTTGTTTGCTTAAAAAACAACAAAAAACTATACACCTGTGGAGGCTGAGGGCCACCCTGGGGAGTCCATTCTCTCCATTCACCATGTAAGTCCTGGGGAAAGAACATGAGTGTACCTACTGTTGTGGTCACTATGGATCTGAGGATAGCTTTGAGCCTCCTGGTCCTTCTGCCTCTATGTCCTGAGTATGTGGCCTACTGTGCCTAGTTTATCGGTGCTGGGGAGGAGGAACACAGCCCTAGGGAAGTTCTCTCCTAGCTGAGCTAAGCACCCAGCTTCCATTTTATTCAAAGATCGTCAGGCAGGCTTCGAGGTAAGCCATCTTAGAACACTCAGGATAGCACTGCAACACTTTATATCTATCATTCAGTTTGCAGCTGCTCAACATTTCTGTAAAATGTTTGATCACTTAAATTTAGACTTACCACACAGTGGACAAGAATGCTGAATGGAATCCAGAATAGCAAGGAGAAAACCAGGACGGACCCTACGATGTTGTCTGCCAAAAACTTTCCTGTGAATAATTCCAAACAGTGAATGTCTCAGCCATATACATCATGCCAGGCAGTGCTCGGGGGGTGAGGGAACTAGAGTATTATTACCCTACTTCCTCTGTTCCTGGGGCCAACCGACCAAGCACAACATGCTTAAGATGACAATACTTTATGACCTGAAGGTTAGTTTTTTACAGCAAAATTCTCTAGTAGTCTTTTGCCATCTGCAAAAACAGACCCACCACTGGTAAACAATTCCTGCATCAACAGGGTCAACAGACTGAACCAAGTTCAGCTGGACCACTCTCTTCTGCAAGATACACAAGAGTGGCCCTGTAGTGAGTTTTGTCTTAGCCAACAAAATGTTTTTGAAGGTGTGTCTGGTTTTTCAGGACAGGGTTTCTCTGTGTAACAGCCTTGTCTGTCCTGGAGCTCAGTCTGTAGACCTGGCTGGCCTCAAATTCAGAGATCCACCTGCCTCTTCCTCCTGAGTGCTATGATTAAAAGCCTGGCTTTGAACCTTTATATTGATTATTAGTTTTTTTGAGACAGGGTTTCTCTGTAGTTTTGGAGCCTGTCCTGGAACTAGTTCTTGTAGACCAGGGTGGTCTCGAACTCACAGAGATGCGCCTGCCTCTGCCTTCCAAGTGCTGGGACTAAAGGCGTGGGCCACTACCACCTGGCTTTCAAACCTTTGTTTTTATATGTCCTACCATGTGTCTGTGCACCATGTGAATGTAGTGCCCTGAGAGGCCAGAAGAGGGTGTCAGGTTCTCTAGGACTATAGTTACAGGTAATTATGGGTGCTGGGAATTGAACCTCTGGAAGAATGACCAGTGTTGTTAACCCTGGGCCATCTCTCCAGTTCCCAACAGTCATTTCATAACAAATGTGGTGAATATTCAGTCCTCTGATGCAGGATCACAAATTGTGAAAGCACACCCGAGTCACGGTGGAAATGAGCTGAGATCTTGGTGAATAATGGGGAAATACTCACTCACCGAAAGTGTTGATGCTCAATTGGTCAATGAAATCCCAGAATCGCTCAATTACATCCTGTACTCGTTTTTCACATTTTCCCTGGAGGGGAAAACAAACATGTTTAGGACTAACAAAGCCTCAGAAAAACAATGGGCATGTAAACAACTTCACATGGGGGGGGGGCCTACCTTGAACACTGGAAGGTAATTCCAGTATGAAGATCCCTGTCATTAGCACTTTCACAATTAGTCTCAAATTTTTTAGTGCACTGGTGGGGATAAGGGTGTTTGCAGGGGCATCCTGTGTATCTCAAAACTGGGTCTGTCTATTTTCTGATGGCTAAGAATACAGGAGTGTGTTGCCACACTCAGCCTAAAAGTTTACTTTTAGAATAACCAGGATAAAGTTCAAGAAAACCCGTCTTCCTCAGAGGAGCCAGTAAGAATGACAGTGATCATACACATGGTGGACAGGAAAGCCTTTGTATTGTTAGTACTTGATTTTGCCACCAGAGGCAATCCAAACACAAACAGGACCTTTTGATCTCTGTGACCAGTGCTTGCTTTCACTGAATATGCATAGATAGGGATGGTATAGGCGGAGTAGGCAGGTGTTCTAGGGTTACTGAAATTCAAAACTTAGAAGTCCTGGGGAGGAAACCTAGTTTTCTTTGTTGTTGGAGACCAGAACACTCTATGTGAGAGCAGGCTTGGGTGGGGCTTTATGGTAGAGACAGCTGACACTGAGCCCTGATTTCCTGACTTGGACAATTGTCACAGACCACAAAGCTGCTCAAGCTGCAATTCTGAAGGAGGCGGAGTAGGAAAGATGGAGTTTGCTTAAGCTACCTGAGTCAGACCCCGTGTATCTCTACAGATGCATAACCCCACGACAAGAGAGACTCCCAAGGTTACAGAAAAGGTGAGACATATACTTACATTCATGTCACAAAATCCTACTGTACAGGGCTTCCCTTTCCTCAAAAATAAGTTCTTTTGCTCTGCATCAACGTAGGGCACACACGGGCCGGAAAGGTTCCTGCAGCACACCTTGCATGAGTTGTCGGTGTCTGAAAGACAAACCCAGCTGACACAGGTGTCCACCACAGGCTTCTATGACTCCTAGTCTCTGATCTCACTCCCAGATAGTAAAAGCTGATCCTACCCCGGGATGAGGGTTTCAGTCAGAGTGCCTGCCTGCATGGTGGATGTGAGGGCCTGGGTTCTGTGTCCAGCATCATGAAAAATAATGGGGCCAAAACTCCATATTCACCTAACAGCTTCTGAATTCATAATTCCTCAGCTCTTCAAGTTAAAACTGGGTATGGTGGCACAGGCCTTTAATCCCAGCACTTGGGGATCAGAAGCAGATCTGAGTATAAAGCCAGCCTGGTCTACAAAGTGAACTCTGTCTCAAAAAGAAGAAAAAAAGTCTGATGATTAAAAGCCAAACTGTATTCTCTGTCCAAACCCTGCAGGTTTGTCCCTCTGACCCAGTGTTCCTAGCACCCCTGTCAGTTCCCATCTCTGACTTCCCAGTGTAAAGCCTATCCTACCCTGGGTCAATGCAGCTATGACAGACACCACCTGGGGTAGAAGTCAACAGTCAGTACCCAGTGAGCTGTGTAGACTCAGAATGAAAAGCTAACCTGCCAGCCACAGTCTGCATTTGCTCTTGGGGGGGAATCTAAGTTTATCTTTCTTCAGGAAAAAACCAAGAAGGACACAAAGCAAGCAGGGGTTCACTGTGACTGTGCCTTTCCAAGGCACTGCAAGCCTGTTGTCATTTATGCAATCATTTCCTGGTAGCTGTGCTACTTTACAGCATGCTAGGCAGGTGATCTGCTGCTGAGTCTGCTGTTGTTACAGTAACTGCCCCCGCCCCCCAGGAGGAACCATTCACTCCAGTGTATGATGCGTTCCCAGCCTCATGATTTAATGCTGATGTCTCTATATAGAACAGAGAACTGCCATCAATCCACCAGCTCCACAGTGGAGTGGGAATTTGGAGTCCAGCCAGGCCTCCCCTTCAGACCTAGTGGTTCCAAAAATAAGCGCATGGGAATCCAAGGAGAACTATGAGGGTAGCAGTAAATAGGTTGCTTTTCCAGGCTGCCCCAACAGGATGAGAGGTTGGCAGACCTGGATGGCATCATCAGAAGTTCCACCCACAGGGCAAAACAGATAAAGGCACCGACTGCCACTTAAAAACCTGAGTTTGATTCCTGAGACCTACATGGTACAAGGTGAGAATTGGAAACACCCCACCCCCAAGTGATCCTTTGATTGATTATTCATGCACAGGGAAGACACGTGCACACACAATTCTGAAAATCCCACCTAGAGGACTTAGACCCTGGAGAGAGCTTTAGTTAAATCCAAGGGTGTTCCCTCATTGGTGCCATGGGAACAGACTATTGCTACCTTTGTGTTTTATGTGGCATGTGAGGTAGGAGGACAGTCCTCCCTCTCCCTCAATGACTTCCCAGTCTACCCTGAAGCCAGTCTGCCTGCCACAAGTCTGAAATGGAGTGGGGAGCCAGGATCTGAGCACAGGGATCTCTGCCTCCTGAAACTAACATGCCTTGCTGCTTTCCACATCCTCTTGCTTGCCCCCCCCCCCCTTTATGAGCAGCAAAGAGCAACAGACAAAAAACAGATCTCCTCCAGGGACAGGAGTCAGAAACCACTCACCAGCACACGCGCAAGACTCTAGTTCCTGCTCTCTCTTGCAAAGGGGATGCATTTCCCAGCCTTGCACTTGCCAAGGTCCAAGCACACAGTGTCATCTTCAGCATCTCCTGGTGGGGGGCACTCACTGCTATTCCCTGGAGGCAAACACCAATTACATTCATCAGTCCAGGCCAACAGTCCCAGGACAAAACAGTTGCCACACACTAGCACACAGCAAGTGGCTCAGGGCTGCTTTCACCCAAAGGAAACTTGACCCTGATTTTCAAATACATGTTCACATGCCACAGGACACCTGGAGAAGCAACGGAAACACATACCTGTGCAGTAAGACAACGCCTTTGCAAGTAGCATTAATAGCCTCCTGGCACTTCTTCTGGGCCGTCTCAAACTGGCAATTTTTACAACAAGGGCTGTTCCTATCACTACGGAAGAACAGACAAACACCATTCAATGCCAATGGCAGCCCAACATCAAATGCTATGGCTGTTAGTGACCTCAACCCTGAAGCAAGAGCCCAGAGCCGAGTGACTGCCACACAGCCTGACTGCTGTGCTGTCTGTGCCACAATGCAGTGAGAGAGGACACACAGCAATCACCTTCTTGGTCTTCTTTTGTTTCCATTAACTAATTAAGAAAAAACCCAGGGATGCACCTGTGCCTATGAAACAATGTGGCCCAAGTCCCATCCCACTCCCTACAATAATCTACAAGTTAAAAGGCACAATGTACAGACGAATAATTCACCAAACAATGGTCCAGCAGGTACTTAAAAAATGAACATGTAAGTACCTTCTAATATGGAATCTACTTAGTATCATTACATAGCACTCTACATTATTATATTATACTGATACACAGTAACAATTTGTATTCTAATATTACCATCTTAGATTGTTCCAATATTTTGCTACTGAAAAAGACAACCATGAGTAGCCTTGTTGAATTAACTGTTTTAAGATTTCTTTTTTCCAGGTAGGGTCTCACTGTGTAGCCTTGGCTGGCCTGGAGCTCATTATATAGACCAGGCTGGATTCAAAGACACAGAGATCTGCATCTCTCTGCCTTTCAAGTACTGAGCTTAAAGGTGTGCCCCACCATTCCTGGCTTTTCAGAGGTTCTTAAGCTCCAATGAGATAGCTAGTAAAGACAGTCACTACCAAGCCTAGTCTTAAAATAAAAATAAACTTAAGTACTAGGAGGTGATTATCTATGAGTCCCATGTAAGCCTGGTCAGTCTATATAGAGTTCAAGATCAGCCAGGGCTACATAATGAGACCCTGTCTCAAAAACTTAATAAAACCAACACACAAAAGGGAATGCTGTATCAGTGGCCATGCATGCAAGGTCAGCATTGTTTTGTGTTGTTTTTAAACAGGTCTAAATATTTCCCATAAAGTATTGTGCTTACACAATCTCATGCTGTAACATATACGCTTTTTACTTCAAGTGCCTGCATTGTGTTCTCCTGTTATCTGGACCTCATCACCCAGCAGTGCACATGCACTGTGGTCTCCTGTCACCTCTGTGGAACACTTCTCACCTGCACTGCACACCTGGCTTCAGCGTGCAGTCACTATTGCAGCAGGTGTCGTTGTTCAGGTACATGATGCCTGGGTCACACTCTTCTCCCTCATCCACCCTGGAGTTGCCACACACCTTGTTGCTGCGCTCCTGGAAGCACTCCTGAGCCTTACTTTCTATGGTCTTGTAGATGGACTGCTTACTACAGTTTGAAAACATCTTAAGAGGAAAAAGGGGGCATGTTCAAAAAAGAACAAGATGAAATAAACTCATTCCCAAATAGGTTTTGTGCTTCTATACAAATACTAACTGTGACAATGCCACCACTGAGTGATATGTCAAGTGGTCACCTGTAATTTCGATTACCACAGTAAGGAACTACTAAAGTAGAATAATGCAGAAGAACCCAATAGTTACTTGTTGATGTGTTTAGCCATTTACTGAAAACACTGATTGCACTGCCTATTTGCCAAGCATGACTTCACTCGCTCCTGGAACAGAATGACGTAGAGAAATAGCTGAAACAATGGGCCACTGCTGGTTGTCACCTACGCCTCTGTAGAATCTTGCTTGCTTGCCCACCCATCTTGTGGTTTTAGAGCAGTGGTTCTCAACCTGTGGACTGAGACCCATTTGGGGCTGCATGTCAGATATCCTGCATATCAGATATTTACATTACGATTCATAACAGCAAAATCACAATTATGACGTAGCAATGAAAATACTTTGATGGCTGGGGTCACCACAGCATGAGGGAGTTGTCACAGCACTGGGAAGTTTGAGAACACCGTGTTAGAGGGATAAAACTGGATCCAGCATAGAAGCCTGGCTATCCTGGCTACTGTCCACCTGTGACATCGAATCCCCTCTCACTGGTGTCAGATGCAATACTGTTTCCCTTTATTCAATACAAAATGGGTTCGGCTTTGTTTTTGTCTTAAGACAAGGGTCTCAATTGTGCAGCTCACGCCAGCCTGGAATGCCCTATAGACCAGTCTAGCCTTGAGCTCAGATCCACCCGGCTCTGCCTCCCTCCAGTGCTGGGGTTAAAGGAGTGCCCCGCCATGCCCCACAGGTCAAAATGGTCAGTGACTAGCAGTAAGAATGCCTCTTCATTCGCAGTTACACCCTCAAGCAATGGGTCTCCAGGGCCTAGATAGTGCAAGCACACAGTGACCGGTCTGTCACTGGCTTTCCAACCACCATCTCTAAATGCCAGTCTTCTTCCTGTGTGCACCTGTATCTACACTTCGCTTTCTTTCAGGGACCTCACAGCCCTCAGCATCCCTTCTTTCTTTCCAGTGATTCAGTGTGCACAGCTCATGTAGCGCCTCAGGGCAACTGCTCTCTCACCGGCGGCCCATCTGGTAGCAAACAGGGCTGTTTGACCAGGGGAAACAAAGAACCACATCATGTCTGACCTGTGGTCCTTCCCACCTAGGTTAAAAATGTTTATCAAGAAACCCATGTCCAAAGCAATACAGAGAGAGAGGGGGAAAAGAAAAAAAAAAAAAAAAAACCATGAACAGGGCATGGTGGTGTACACCTTTAATTGTAGCACTCAGGTCAGAAGAAGCTTAATTGTAGCACTCAGGACACAAGAAGCAGGAGTATCTCTCTGTGAGTTCAAGCCTAGTCTACACACCAAGTCCCAGAACTACACAGAGAGATATGAGAGAGAGAGAGAAAGAGAGAGAGAGAGAGAATATGAATGGTAACTAACTCATGTTAGCCCAAGGAAATGAATGGCTCTGCCTCTGCAGGTAAAAGAAGCCTGCTGTCAAACCTGATGACCTGAGTTCAATCCCTAGGTGAAAGGAAAAGAACCAACCCCCCAAAAATTATCCTCTGAGCTGCATACATGGCAACCATACATGACCCCCGTTAATAAGTAAATGTAAAGATTTTTTGAAAAAAAAAAAGAAAACTAAAACATAGAAGATGCATGCATAGTATTTTTTAATAAGGGGAAGCATTTGTTGGGAAAACTCAACTGTCACGGAGAATATGTGTCCTAAATGCGATGGGTGCAGGAAGGACAAAACCAACCGTGTATCGTTGACAGCTCTGCCCACGCTCCACTCCCACCAGCAAGTTCTCACAGGCCATTTAAGGCCCCTGGGGAATTCCTCAGAGGAGGAAGTAGCATCATGTGCTTTCCCTTGCAGTCGAGTGTACAAAGGCAAACGGTCCCTAAGCCCTGGCAGCACCCTCACCACTGGAGCAGTCAAATGCAAAAGCCACTAGCTTTATGTGACGGTTTAGGGGTCTCTCCTCATTGGATGTTTTATACATCATATTACAGAGGTGTCCGTTAACGTGTGTTAACGGACAAAACAGTTTCATGAATACTCATGTCCCCTCACCAGCTTCCACATGATGTCACAGGTTTTCTATATTTATCACTTGTTTTTAAGAGCTGTATTAAGACACATCTAATCCCTAGTACAGCCAGAGGGAGGAGGAGAGGAAGAGGAACAGGGAAGGAGAATGGTAACAGCAAACTGGGGAAGTACCCATGAATTAAAACAAGTAATAAATTGTAAATTGTCAGGTCATTTTTAAGGCCGAGTCAAACACCCTCAAAAGAAGGCCCCTAACAAAAGCCACTACTGTAACTGTCACAATGAAACCTCATTTACATGTGACCAAACTTGACAAAACTGTCCAAATGGCACCAAGTTCCATCTCTAGGAAGAACATCAAGGAATATGTACTTTACCAAGCCCGCTTCCTAGTAACACCACACGGACTTCTTCCCTACACTAAAAACGATCAAAACACACGTACCTTATTGTTTTCATGGTCACCACTCACAGCTATGGGATACATAACGTACTTTCCTCCCTGGTCCTCATTTGGGGCACATTCTGCTAGCCCATCAGGGTCATGTTCTGCTCCAAAATTGTGTCCTAATTCGTGAGTTGTAACCAGGTCAGCTTCCTTAAGAACCAGGCAAAGAAAACATGTAACCATCAACTGCTTTTGCCAGTTGAGCCTATGCTACATTATTAGATTAAGCAGAAGTAGAATGACTTCCATAAGCAGTCCACACACACACTCATCATAGTGTGTGTGTGTGTGTGTGTGTGTGTGTGTGTGTGTGTAGAGAGACACAGAGAGACAGAGAGAGACAGCAAGCACATGCACAAAATACATGTGTGAGGTTGGACCAGTTTACATAGTATCCACCTGCTAAGCCATCTTCCTGCCCCAATAAATGTAATGGGAGGAGGGGATGGCTCAGTGGTTAAGGGTGCTTACTGCACTTCACAGTTCAACAGTTCAATTCCAACCACCTGTAATTCCCGTTTCAAGGGATCAAATATGCAGGCTTCTGCATGCACATAAACTCACACTGGCACACATGAGCACGCGCGCGCGCACACACACACACACACACACACACACACACACACACACACACACACACACACAGACACACTAAATTCACTAGTAAAAGACAAAAATAAGGTGGATGAAGCCTGATAAACCACACCCAAAAGCTGACCTGACTGCCGCATGCTTAGATGGGGAAGGGGAACAAAGGACGGCTGGAAGCTGAAGGCTCCCCAAATACAGTATGATGTATTTTCCACAATGTAGATCAGGCTGACCTCAAACTCAGGATCTACTTCCCTCTGCCTCTTAAGTGCTCAGAATAAAGATGTCCACCACCATGCCAGGCTTCTCCCTTATAAAATATTCAGTTAAAAAGCTACCTTCCTGCGCTGGTGCTATGGGCATTTATATGTCCAGGGACATACAACCAGAAACTGACAGGGGAGGCTTGCTGAAAACCTACAGTGTAAGGACAACCTACAGTAGCTCTAGTCTCTTTTTCTTGCTGCAACAGAGACAAGAACCACTTTGTGCCTGTGAGGCTACAGCATGAGGACAGGAGACTGGTGCTCAGAAAGGCATTGCTAAAGGAAAACCAGGGTTACCCAGAGGAGAGCATCTCTGAATGTACAAGTGTAACCCGGGGAGGGCTACCTCAGGCAAGTAACTCAGAAAAGTAAGCCTGTTTAGGCCACACCACTGTTTACTGGATTTTCCATTATTTGCAGCAAAGCATATGTGAACAGATATATCTACAGAGAAACAAGGGGATTTTGTTTTGTTTTGTATTTTGAGACAGGTCTCAAGTATCCCAAGCTGGCCTTGAACATAGTATGGAGTTGAGGGGCAATCTGGAAATGTTGAACATCCTACCTCTACCCTCCAAGTTCTGGGGTTACAGGCACACATCACTGTACCTGATTTTATATGGTACATGCTGGGCAAGCACTCTACTGAGCTACATCTCCAGACCCCAACACAAGATACAAAAATATCTTAGGAAGAAAAGATCACAAACAGAGGCTAATGCAATGGACTCCAAATCTATCCTGTTTAAAAACAAAAACAGAGGCTAAGAGTTGGCTCAGTGGTTAACAGCACTTGTTGCTCTTCCAGAAGCTGCATGGTCAATTCTCGGCACTGCTATCAGATGGCCGTCAAACACCTATTATAACTCCCAAGGTTCCAACACCCTCTTCTAGTGTCTCTAGGGAGGAACCTATGCTATACACACCTGTGCATGGACATGCACACATGCTCAAACATGCACACACAAATATAAAAACATTCTAATAAAATTATTTTTTAAAATAAAACATCAAGAAACATACCTTTGTAAGGATGGTTTTACCCCATAATTTTTTGTACTAGTCAGACCACTATTCAAATAGATGTTTTTCTTCCCACCTGGGCTGTAGTAAGCTAAAGGAAAAAGGAAACAGACTAAATTGTCTCTTAAAAACAGAACTGAAACATAACCCAGTCAGCCTTCTCTTTCGTCTCTCTCAGGGTCATGACAGCACAAATGAGACTTACCTTTTGGGCAAACCCCTCCATGACTGTTTGCTCTGGGAGAACCCACGTAAGCTAAGCCAAGAGTTCCCATATCAAAATCCTGGTACGTGAAAAGATGAGCCAGGCAGACTTTAGATGCTTCTTCAGCTATATCAAAGCTAAATTGCTTTAAAGAGAGAATATGGTGTTCTTCATTAGATTACCATTATCACCAGAGTCAGAGTGCACACTACAGAACAGTTGCAGCTCTGCTCAAACACCTACAAGTCCTCAAACCCAAGGAAGGGGATTGTTTTCCCTGGGTCACACCCATCCAGCAGATAGAAAGCACAGTGCTCGTGGGGTGGTAGGCAGCAAGCACGCAGGCAACTTTTCACCTACTCTGAATTCACTGCTCCTCCACAGAGACCTAGTCAGGACCAGAGCAGCCCCAATTCCTGAGAGCCACACTACAGCAGGTCAAAGTATTTCAAGAGTTTAACACGCTGTGCCAGGGTTGTTTTATTTTTAATTATTTGGGCTGGGAAAGATTTTTTTGTTTGGATATAAATTATAATTATACAAATTATTTTAAAAAATGTACAAATGTAAGTTTATGGAAAAGCAGACATACTTAGTTGTATGGTACCAAATCAAAGATTTAAAGCCATTTTAAGAACACTACAGATTCATTCCCAACCTCTACCCTGCCCCACACCCACAGGCTTTACTTCAGTGTCTTTTATTTTTTGTTTACCCTAACAATCCAAAATATTACAGTATTTTTTTTTAAAAAAAAAAAAAAAAACATGACTTTTAAAATGTTTAATGCCAGCCCTTGAGAGGCAGAGGCAGGTAGAACTCTGTTGAATTAAAGGCCAATTGGAAGATCCTGGCTTAGCATATACACACCCCCCCACACACACACCCACACACCCCCACACACACCCACCCACACCCCCACAAACACACACCCCCCACGTTTAAAATGAAAGATCAGGGAATACCATGTACAGAATGAAGGACAGCTGTCTGGGACCTTGAAAGTCCCTTGACAACAGGGTGACTGGGGCTCTAGGACTTCTCTGGGGGCTGAAGGAAAGAAAAGGAAAGCAGTGTGGTGGGTCAACTGGCCCCGGCAAGCTAGGAAGTCTAACCCAGGACAAGACATCTACACCTGATGAATGGGCCTAACTATGATCATCACAGCTCATATACTGATGTTCTAGTCCTGACTTATCACACCAAATCCAGTAGATTCTGTGTGACAAGTTCCACAGTCTGAGGTGGAAACTTCTCAGCCAGAGAAAAATATTGAGCCATAGTTCTTGTGGCAATCTCTGCTCTTTTATTCTTTTCTCATATTAGTGAAATGTTCCTGAAAGCCTTCGCTGACATTTTAAACAGAAGAAATAAATAAGAAACAGTCCCATGAGCCCCTGAGACGTGGTCTCTAGGAAAACCAGTGCTTTTCAAATCATTCATGTCATTCACATAAGTATTAAGACAAAAACTTTCCCAACAATAAAATTTCATAGGGCTGTACATGTATCATCGAGAATGGGTTTAAATGTTTAGTAAAGAAAGCTTCTTAATAAGAGTCAAAATAGCTCAATATTTCAAAAACTTAAAGAACTGGGTAGCAGATGTCAAACAATGACTGACCATAAAAATGTATTAGCCTGATCTAAGAAATAGCCAGTTATTCTTAAATGATTTTTCTGATTTATTGTTTTGGTTAGCCTTGAATGATTTGTGTTACTGTGCCTAGTAACAATGATGTCATTTGGGTTTGCTTCACTGAAGCAAACGAAAGAAAATATTTGTTTTATTATAAAAAGCCTTGCTTGAGAACTGCAAAATACACTCAGACTCAAACTCTGTGTTTCTGTTTGTCACTGCTGAATCCTTCCTTACCTAGTCTTTGAGGGACCCTAATCCCAGGGACTCTCATACTTGGCTGGGGGTAGTCCGTGGCACTGACTAACTCCAAAAGACAGCTGTATTTGGGACAAAGCCTCTCCTGAAATAAGTGAGGTCCAGTGGGGACATATTCATAGGCCATAATTAGAGATAACCTGTTTCCCTTACAAAAGTGACTTTGGGGGAGGGTTTGTTCAGTTGTTGCTTTGCAGTGCTGGGATCCAAATCCAGGGCCACAAGAATGCTAGCATACACCATTCAAGAACAGCATCACTCACACGAGGAGGTAAGGACACAGACATACACCGAGGGAAATATTAGCATGCTGGAAGAGGCCTGAGCAGAAACCAATCCTGTGATACCTCTAGCTTGTAGGGGTGGCTGGCCCTTCCAGAGCTATGACAAAATAAATGCCAATGGCTTAAGGCTTCCCAGGTACTCTGCTAATAACAGGGAGTGGAGCTGAGTTACATTTGCTGAGACTTATCCCAAAAGCAACAATAACAAGTGCCTTTGATCTCAGCACTCCAGAAGCAGAGACAAAGTGGATCTCTCTGAGTTGGGAGGGTCAGAGCCCTGGTCTACAGAGTGGGATGTTCTAAGTCAGCCAGGGCTACACAGAAGAAACCCTGTCTCAGAAAAAAAAACAAAACAAAAAGATACCATCTCAATCTGCCAGGTTGGCTGGCATAAACCAGTAGTATACACAGACACACAGCACATAATGGGTCTCAATCTGGGGGGGGGAAGGAGAGGGGACAATAAAAACTTTTAATTTCCAAACATCATTTTAGTCTTGTGTGGGTGTATGGGCAAAATACCTATATTAGCCCACTACCAGAACACACACACTAAAACCCGGATTAAAAAACAACCCACCCAAAATATTTCAAGCTGCTAAGTTTGTGGCATTTGCTATAGCAGCAACAGAAATTACCATACAACCAGTATAGAAAGCCAATTTACAACAAAGCAGTGATCTGCACAGATGCTGGAGTCATGCAGCAGTATACTAGTTAAGAATGCACTCAGGGTGCTAACACTTTTCAAACTTATTACCAGAATGAAGATAAAATGTTTAAATTTCTATAGCTCTCAAGTTATACTTGTGCTGGCCAAGACATGTTCACAGCTTCTTTGGTAAGTATGTATCTGTGCACGTACACACACTCACATATATGTTTATTTTCTCCTGAGTAGCCACAAATATACAAAAATCAGTAGCTGTTCCATGCCAAAGAGTGCCTTCTTTTGTGTTCTTACCTTTGTCTTCTCTCTATGCTTCACACACTTTTTACACATTTACCCGTGCCAACTTTGATGACAAGGCTTCAACCACTTGTTTTTCAAGGTCATGGCTGTCCCTGGCTCCCTTATTGGAAGGATGAGATTATATGCCACTGATGTAGTTAGTCATTGCATCTCCTGAGAATACCAGTTGCCAGTACTGCCCTTAGACTTGTGGTGAAGTTTTAGAAAGGCCTGAGACACAGCACAGTGAATGCCTATACACTGACTATCCACATCATTTTCCAGAAAAGATCCTCTGTGCTGATTCAGATGCTCAAAGATATTAAGGTTTCAACCATGTCTTTCCTAGTTAAGACAGTAGCCATCCACTAGAAGTTGCAAACTGCAGAGTATGGCCTACCTCTTAGCAACATCTTCACATCCCAAGCACTTTTTGTCTTCATTTGGGTAACTTTTTGGCTATATTGAAATGTCTTTCACTCAGGTTTTACCTCTTGTGGAGACTTGAGAATTGGAGCTATACTTAAGAGAGAAATATACTTAGAACAATTCCAAAGCATCCTAGGACTTTTAATACATTATTTCATCACTTAAAAACGAGAGCACATCGACAGGCATGATGGTGCACCTTTAGCCCCAGGACTCCAATGCAAAGTGCAGTGGCAGATCTCTGAGTTAGCCCAGTATACATGGCATGTTCCAAGATAGCCAGGACTGTCTGGAGAGACCCTGCCTCAAAAGACAAAATAAAAACCAAGACCCAGCATCTGAGAGCACTCGAGAGACCTCAGCAGCTAAGATCTTGTTCTTACTCAGGACCCACGTTTGATGCTCCAATTCCACATGCAATTTCATAACCTTCCACATCTTTAAATCTAAAATAAAAAAAGGTTGTAATTAAAAAAAAAAAAAATCAGCACCTATGTGATCCTTGGCACTTGGTAAGCTCAGACAGAGACAGGACAGTCACTATTAGTTCAAGGGCAATCTGGGTTATATAGCCAAAGCCTATCTCAAAAAAAACTAAACACAAAAACCATACACATGCACTCACATACATACACACACGTACACACGCTAGTGCACATGCACACACACAAACAACTCATCTATTCCTATAAAAAGTTTTATAACCAAAAATTCTTTTAGTCACAGATAGTCAAAGGTCCAAACAAACTGAAAAGCTCATGGTATAGAAAAGACAAGTGAAAATGAATTATGTATAAAAGTTATAAACGTAATTAAAATTTCATACATTGTACTTGAAAAAGGAAAAACTAGGCTTACATGAGCCTAAGATATTTATTACAATTATAATCAATAACTTAAAAATAAAATATTGGGATAAACATTTACTTGTACTATATAAGAAACTATAGAAATCCTATCTTAGTGTGTTTAAGACAACTTCCTATTAAACCCACTAAGAAGAAAGGAAGAAAGCGTTCTGATCATGGACTTGGACAAGGACAGAAGCTGTGCCAGGCTCAGCAAGCAGTCTCTGGCCTCCCTTCTATCCTACACTGACACACTATGGTGTCACAAAGTCAGTTCTATAAGAATCAATGGGAAGACACATACACACCCAAATTACATCCTCCAGCTCACTCTAGAATGAATTAAAAGAAGTTACATTTTTGTTTCCTATATTGTTATTGTTCTTCAATTGTTTCAGGTTCCTAAGGCAAAAGGAACAATTTACTGATCCCTAAAATATTATTAGTTTTTATCGTTTTTATAAGTTTTTAATATAGTTTTTATAGCTAAACAAATTATAGTACTTTTAAAAACAGTAAGTATGCTTTACATTATCAATAGGGAATTATATCCAACATAACATAAAATAAAAGCCAAGAGGGTCAAGAGTACACAGCATATTGATGAGTGTTAAATACAGACTTACTTGTACACATATAACACACATGCACGTCGTCTCGAAAGATATGCCCTGATCAACTTAGAACTAGACTATGCTAGTTAGACTATGCTGCCTCTGTCTGACTAGAACTAGAATTATAGGCTGCACCACCATATCAAGGTAAGTATCTTTTTCTTTGCCAACTTGCCTTATGTGTTTTTCAATACAGTCCTGTCTGTGTAACCCCCCTGGTAACCTAGAACTCCACTTTGTAGACCAGGGCTGTCCTAGAGCTCACGAAATCCACCTGCCTCTGCCTCCCAAGTGCTGGGACTAAAGGTGTTCATCACCACCACCTGGCCGTTCGCCTTTTTTGTTTAATCTCTCAATTTTACACACTATAACCTGTAAGACCATATGATTTGATACAAAAAACCTGGAAACATTATACCTGGAAACATTATATTCATACTTATATCAAAATATATACTTTTTCAAAGAAATATTCAATGTCTGAACCGCCAAGGTCAATGTTTACTGAGAACACTCACGATGACATTGGGTGTAGCACCGACGGCCCATGCATTATCAGCTAAGAAAATGAAGGACACCGAAGGGCAGAAGAGGTCTACTGCTGTGTATAAGCCTCTCCCCTACAATGCATTCTTGAGTACATTCCCTGGCTATGGATTCAAAAATTATAGGATTTTTTTTTTTTTTTTTGCCCTGATATTTTCTATATTCCATCAGAATCTCCTTTTACTCTTCTACAGAGATACAGCAGGTACAAAATTAGAATATCCTGTCATTACTGATTTATGTACTAGAATTCTAACTAAAGACTGAAGCATAATCAGAGGAAAAAAGAAAACAACATAGGAAACAAAAGAGCTATATAATTAATAGATGAGAAAATACTAGCATTAAGAGGGTTCATCCCTAAAATACCCCCTCAAGACAGAGATTTTACCATCTAGGAATACACACCAAAAATGCAACGCAATTACCATTTTAAAAAATATCACAAATGAGAATATTTATGATTAATGTTAAGGCAGATTGGAGGGGGTCTTAGGAAAATAATAAAAATATTTATTATATAGAACCTAATGGGATGAACACAAGGACTACTATTGATAACAATGGTGTTCTATCTGTATTCCATAACCTTGGAAGCCAGCATTATCCCATGAAGTGTTCCGGTATATGTCATCAACTCGGGTCAATTAACTCTATCTGTGGATGTAAAAGATGAAGTTAAGTGTAGAACACTACCACTGATGGCAATGTAACAAACCTAATGGAATAACAACAAGTATACAAAGTGAAGAAAATGCAAGACTTGCATCAAGAAACTAAACTTCATCACTAATGGGTCTATCAAAGAAGGTACCCAAGAGCCAAATTTGAAACCCTGCTACAAGAATGTTACTGTGTACCTAACCTTGGGCCTTTTAAATACTGCTGTTCCAGTCAACTATGAAAGGGAAACGTCAACTCTGACTTATCAGAAAAAAATCTAAGAAGTAGCCAGTCTTTACTGTGTCAAGATTGCCTTAAATGTGGCCCAAAAACAGGTAAAATGGTGATACTGGGTCCCCACCCCATTTTTTTCGTGGTGGGGGAGATACATGTATGCATATGCATGTTTTCTGTGTAAATGGGCACGTGTGCACATGATAGAGGCAGAGCATAATCATTACATCAGAAAGAACAAGAATCACTTATCTTTTCTCAAAGAGGAGTGTTTATCTGTCCAAAAACTGGGTTACAGGTTTGTTCCAGCTATGGAGAAATTGTTCTTTAAGAAGCAATGAGAAAATGCACTTTGAAAAAGTTGATGTTCCACCAGGTGTATTGGCGCACACCTTTGTTCCCAGCACTTGGGGAAGCAAAGGCAGATGGATCTCTGTGAGTTCAATCGCACCGTAGTCTACAGGGTGAATTCCAGACAGCCAAGGCTATACAGAGAAACCCTGTCTCAAAAAAAAAAAAAAAAAAAAAAAAAAAAAAAAAAAACCACAAAAAGGACC